GGACCAAATCCAGGCAGAAGGCTGTTCTCGGGGTAGGTTCAGCATTTGTTCAACTTAGCCTCCCTCTAAACTTATTTCGCGAAACTGCACCAGTGCTCCCAGCCGTTGGGCGTCTGCAGTCTGTTATTGCAGACCCCCGCGTCCATATGGGGCTTGCGTGACGATCCTTCGTGAACAGAGTCACAAGCGCATTAAACTGCCCGCCGACTGATGCGAGAGAGAGGGTATCGGCCGGGGACTCACGTGTGTCATCGCAGAGCGAGCATGATTTTTCACGTTCGTGCATGAGTAGCCATGTCGCGTTTTCTTTAATCAGCCCATCATTTCATATCGCTTGCTCATGTCCGAAAATCGGAGGGCATTATTCATTTTGGTTGAATGTCTCATACCGTGGACCTGACTCCTCCATTGTCGGTTAGATCACCCAGGAAAGCCTGATACACTTTACTAGGGGAATGAAGGCTGTTTAACTTATACATTATACGATCATACATTTTTATGTCATATACTGTACATTTTATTCGGTACCAATACTATATACTATACATTTTATACACACTATACATTTCATCATACTATACATTTTTACGATCAGTTACATCTACGTACTTGCCACGATATTGACAGGACAATGGGGTTCGAAACGGGACAATGAATTTCAATGTTGTGAAATGACACAACTTATCTAACGCTTACCCGAGGTCTATTTAAAGCTCCGTTTTCTCAACTTCCGCTACGATTTGCCTCGAAGATATGATGCCTCTGTACGTCTCAAGTGAGCGTTCGACAGCGGCGTCGGAGATATATCATGCGTACCGACATACCGACACTCTCCACCAAAACCTGTGGTACGGTAGGGGAGGGAACTATGCCAGTGATTCACTCCTGAAGCATGAAAGCTTGGGGCAGACCTGCTGACAGCTACCGAGGGAACTTCGATGAACTGGGTTGGTGGACAAATCGCCTATAGTTCACAGGAGTTCCGCCCTAGCCTGCGGTGTCCTCTTCCTGCCTGCCTCGTGATTCTCTGCGTCATGCTTGCCTGACTTAGTCATTGTACTTGACTTACATCATACTTGCTTGACGTATTCACTTCAACAACATCCCCCCGTTATGGTGCAATTTGCATTGCCTACCATTAAACATATTAGGGACAGCAGAAGGTGTCGTAGGAAGGGGTCCGCAGGCTGCGAGTTTCCACAGCGTTATCAGTGCGTGTTCATACGCATTCCACCTTTGCCGGGCTTCATCAGGCTCTCGCCTCATGTCTCCGCATCAGGCTTTCTTCACAGGGCACAGGCCGCCATTCGCTAGGACGTGCCGCGTGTGCAGCGTACGGGCCGCCAGTCCGTTCACGTCCGGAGGGCACAGTGCTCTGGAACTCCCTTCATCGGTGGCGTTCATTATCCATGACAAGCGGACTTTATCCGTCCAGTGCTCGTGTTCACGGATAATCGAATCGTCGCGTCCTCGGGGAAAGGTCACCCGTCATTAGCCTTCCGTCACGCGCGGTCCTTGCTCACAGGGGCAGCGAATGCTCATGGTGGCATGCAGCTCACTTGTTCCTCCCCGTTAACGTCGTGGCACTACCGGAGCTTGGCAGACCACCTCCACATCCCCCCCTCTGTTCCCATACTTCTAAATACGCCCTACGCCCGGCGCGTGATCACAGAACCTGCCTTGGGTCCATTTCGACGGTGAACGGCGTCGCATTTTTCACCAGGCTGGCTCAGTAGCGCTATACGTCAGTCGTGGCCATTTAATTGGTGGCGACAATGGCGCCGTGCTGTGGTCGAGGGATGTCATTGACGATTTGCACAAATCATAGCGAGAATTGTACAATCGACGTAAGTTTGCACATATGCTGTACGCGGAAAAAAGTGAAAAGCTTCGCACATGTTTGTCATACGACACCACCCAGCCGTGGACTTTGGGTTGGTTCTTTAAGAGGCAAAAAGGAGATAACATCTGTGACATCATCTGGGACATCATCTGTGACATCATCTGTGACAACATCTGTGCGGCAAGTTACAAAAAGATCTTGACAACAGAAAAACGCTCCATGTTGCAAAATTGCGACTACAATCCCGGATTGATTTAAACACGCGTCGACGAGTCATGTATGAAATTTTGGTGTTCATCCAGCTTTGAGGTCGACATTTTAGGGTTAATCTTGGGTAACCTCGTTTGCAATGTGCGCAATAACAGTGTGGGTCCGTGTGAGAAAGCTTGAGATATATGCTACGGAAATTACAGCGGTGAATTTATGGAATTACTAGTGAATTTCAGTGCATTTGACGTTCTTTTATTGCACATTCGGAACGTCAAATGTGTAAAATACCAGCCCGTACTTAAATTTGCGTACGCATGACAATACCAAGTGTGAAGTGTATGAATTGCGAAGTGTACACATTATTCGCCCAGGGACATTTCACTCAGACAGCACAAAGTTCCTCCTTGACTGCCGCCTTTCACAGGGCACGGGTTGTCATATCTGCGCCAAAAAACATATCGGAAAAAATAAAGTTCTTGAAAACATCAAATAATTCCGTATACGTTCTACCATGGGGGATGGTAACATTTTGTTGCAACGGTCGTAACAACGACATTTCAGTTAAGGCAAAGCATGGATTCCGCTGATGTAGTGCATTTGAAACTGCCGTAGTGAGGAGTTCCAGTAAAGTTGTGGCAGTCGTGGCCAGCACAATTTCAGTTCCACAGTGCCAACTTCATTCATATGCGGACAATTTACAATACATTATGGTACAATACAGAATGAAACGGGAAAGACGTTGGTCTTCCTTCACCCTGAAAAGCTATGGATGCGATATACTATTTTCAGTTGAATATCAATAAGCCAAATGGCTATAGCGGCTTCGGAAATACGTTGTGGAAAAAGCCCCTGCTCACTCATATAGCTACGCCCCACAGACCAGTAACAACTGTATTGGAGCCATAATTACCGGCATGGCAAAGCGTGCAGACGGCGTGTGATACAGTTGGTAATAGTGGGGCAAACATCAGGCGTTATGTCAACAGCTCACGTGTAACCTTCATTATTCTGTAAAATGGTAGCAATGCGACATCGTTTTATTACGCCAAGGAACACTTTTCTGACATCGGAGACAATACCAGAATGGCTGTGTCAGAATCACTACTGTAGCGGACAGGCTGGCTCACTGGTGGGCGCCAGGTTGACGTTGGCAGCCTTAACGTGCACATTTATGTTTCGAGCGTCACGTGCGCGTGCGTTGCCCTTAATCGTAGTGTTATCGCATACGTGTCCGTGATTTTATATCATTTACTGGCATTTGCATCTTTGGTCACGGCGCTGTTGTTAAGTTTTCGATTCTAAGTCTGATGCCCGTCAAGTCTAGTCGCAGTGCCCAAATGCCTGCATTTTGTATCACAAAACGCGGCCAATGGTCGAGAGTTAAAATTGACGCGGTTTGCTGTTTGAAAGCCATCCGCTGCTCGTGAATGCGTTGATCCGTGCTGACTACCTCTAAACATGTATAGTCAACACTCATATTTTCTTAACTTTGAACACAATGTGATCATTGCACAGGCGGAGTCCGTGTCAGGTGTCTGTGACGTCATAAATCTCGGAGTGTCCTCAAAATAGGCAGCGCGGAATAGTCTGCACAAGCCAACGTGCGCCTGGCTCAGAAACGAGAGGAGTCGAAGTCCCTGTAATAAGGGTCGCTACACTGGGAACTGCAAGGAGCACCTTGAACCTGACTATCTCAGTTCAAAACCCATGCAAATGTGGGACAGCCCTTTTAAGTATTTTTTCGAAACGATTCCTCGCGTGCCAAAACAGCCAACATCCACCATATAATGAGGAAAGTCATATGCGCTTGCTTAACATTGACCGTGTTTGGTCGTGGTCCGCTAGGGCCGATTATATAGTGCATCCAAACCAACCCGCGAAATTAACGGATTTCCTTGCTCATATTCAGCGTCTTGGCGCTTGAAACGAACTCAATATCGCACTACACAGCCGTAAGCAGGCATGATCACTTATCCCTTATAAGCGCATGTCGGAAATGCCGATCATCGCAATGACGTGAAATAAGGCGCAATCACAAATTAACTCCACCGTGTTAGTATACAATGTCTTGGGCATCAAAGCATGGACCATAATTGGATTTCTGAGCTAAAATGAGATAGCTTGCCAGGCAGGTCGACAGGCATATGCATGTTGAGGTAATGAGGTACGGAGCCGTGTCCTTGGTGTACCACAAGGTCATGTTACAAGTCGGCAACAAGGGTTGCCAGAACGGTCGTTACAAATACTGATGGGGTATGCCATATTGTAATGTATTGTTCGTTAATGCACAGACCCAGCGTTCGTCACCCACGTCTTTCAGCAGAATTTCTCCAGCGTTGCTCCATCACAGTGGTTCGCTGTTGTATAACAATGGCTGCAATCACAAGCTGTCCATAGTAAACATCCGCATGGTAAGCAGTTCGTGTCGATGCTTTGATGGGTTTTCCAATGGATACCGATGCAAAATGGGTAACTGGTCGAGTCGAGCACAGATTTCTAAAAAAATATCATTGATATAGAAGAGCGGCTAGTTACTTTAGGAAATGCCGGGAGGGACATAAAGACATGCCCCTTTTGGCATAACCATGTTCTTGGCGGCATAATAAAATATCAATACATCCCGGAAATATAACTCTTTAGGGTACAAGTGAGTTAAAATGATATGGAAAAGATAGTGCGCTCAGCCCAATGCGGCTATGCCGCAGGGGCTTGTGGATGGGATAAACAAACTCACCCATCATGGCCCTCAGTTTTTGACGGCCTTCTGAAATCAAAAGCAAAGTAGCTCCCAAACCGGTGCTTTCTGCCCAATGACAGATTTCTAAAAAAACGTATATTTGTGTCGCGGGTCCGAATACGACACCACAAACGAAACAGCACGGCAGCGGTCGCGCAATAAATCGAACACAAAACTAGTCTGGATGACACGGCGCCTCCCTGTTCTCACCTGTTCCTCGTGGTGTCTTCGTGGACCTGACGTAAGACAAAAACGCCGCAATAAAAAACGCAGACGACAGCAATTCGGCACGGCCGACGACCCCTGTCACCTGCAAAACGGAGACAAACACTGAGCGCTCCTGGGTGGAGTTCCAGAGCAGCTTGTTAAAAAATATGACAGTACGAGAGGGCAGGAGACCCTCGAAACAGTCAGTGAGAGGGTGCATTTAACCTCATTTATGCTGAACTATTTTGTGCGTGCATGCGGTCAATTACATAGCGATTCTCAGCAGTGACCATGGTGCTCGGACAAATATAAGATAGATCGCTGATTGGTTCGCACGTTGCTGAAAAGTCCCGTTGCATCGTGATCCGATCTGTAAAGTCAAGGCCTTACACGTACATGTGCTCTTCGATAATTGTAATATATGTAAAGAGAGTATCCCGCTTCGTTGCACTTTTTAAGCATGGTTAGACCGGGCGGGTCCAATCTAATCAGTAATGTCAGATTTCTCGAAAACCTGAAAAGCTCAGGCATTTGGCTTAAACTAGCCGCTCAAATGAGAGAAATGTCATTGGAATCCCTCCTCACCTCCATGAAATTAATAATTCCTATTTTTCCACGTGTGTGTGTTACGTGATATGCGCAATATACCAATTTTTCAACATACTTTTGTAATAAACGTTATGAGACCTTGAAATCCTCTATTTAAGGATATATATATATATATATATATATATATATATATATATATATATATATATATATATATACAAATATGAGGCCATTCACACGCGAATTCAACAAAACGTTGCACTATGGCCTTGCTTTCTCTCCTATGACGCTTAGCATAGTGACTCTACTCGAATAGTACTTTTGCTTTGGAAAGCATTGCTTGCGTAGATGCCTGATTCGTCCAAGGCTGCTTTTATAACGCAGGTATACGCTAGCGACATATCAGCTGGTTTAGTGAGGTACATGCTCCACCAAGGCACTGCTCGCGAAATGATCACGGAGCGCACTCTGATAGTCACAACGTTCCTGACTTTTGGCAACATTCGTACCTAGTCGCACGCGAATATAACATATGCCAGCCACTGCCATCATGGTGTATGGAAGTGTGATGCTGTTTAAATGAAGATGTTTGGCTCCAATTCAGCTTCAGTTTTGCCGCACATTGACTCACCCGCTACCCACTCCAACCATGTTTATCATCACACCATTAACTCACTATTGCACTAAAGGTCAGCCTAACAATGGTTGACTGAATGGAGTTAACATGCTTATGTTGCTATTGTCCACATCGCTTTGACAGTGCCCATTATCAGTATGACAACGTGAAACAATGAAATATTTGTTCCGTCAATTCGCTTTTTCTATTCACGCGCCCTTTAACACAATACAAGAAACGCAGTAGCAGCTATTTGTGGCTGGCCCAATTGACGGCGGCACCACGTTTGCGTTGTAAGGGCAAAGCTTGTTTCAAACTAAGTTAGTTACATGCAGCAGCCTGGGGTTTGTGTAAAATCTCCAAAAGCTATGGAAAACCTACTCACTGCTGCCCCCTCAGTCCGCCGCCCCGACAGGCTCCAAAAGTGGCGCTCTTCGTTTAGCCAGACAGTTACAGAATCCACCAAGCAGTTACAGCACTTCATTCAAAATCACGCCCCCCCCCCCCCCCCCGTGAACTTCTTCTGCGTAACTCACCGCTTCCGTGTGGACCGGGTGAACGGCGAACAGTGTGGCTGCCAGGAAGCCGCACGCGTCCGACACGAACAGAGCGCATAGCCTGCAACAGTGGCACATACTCAGGCCAGGTCGCCGAGCGTTTAGGACGTGGGGTGAAGAGGGGACAAGTGAGTTGTTTTGCAGTCTGCGGTTGGGCCAGTCCGTCAGCTTTTGAGGCACTGGTGGCTCACTACAGTCCGCTGTCATGACGTCAGTCCGAAAACTGATGACTAACTACAGCCCGCTGTCATGACATCGGAGGAAACAGTGGTGACTCGCTACAGCCCGCTGTCATGACGTCGGTGCGAACAGTGGTAACTCACTCCAGCCAGTTATCATGACGTCAGTGCGAACAGTGGTAACTCACTCCAGCCCGCTGTCATGGCGTCAGTGCGAACAGTGGTAACTCACTCCAGCCAGTTATCATGACGTCAGTGCGAACAGTGGTAACTCACTCCAGCCCGCTGTCATGACGTCAGTGCGAACAGTGGTAACTCACTCCAGTCCGCTGTCATGGCGTCAGTGCAAACAGTGGTAACTCACTCCAGCCCGCTGTCATGACGTCAGTGCGAACAGTGGTAACTCACTCCAGTCCGCTGTCATGACGTCAGTGCGAACAGTGGTAGCTCACTCCAGCCCGCTGTCATGACGTCAGTGCGAACAGTGGTAACTCACTCCAGTCCGCTGTCATGACTTCAGTGCGAACAGTGGTAATTCACTCCAGCCCGTTATTATGACGTCAGTGCAAGCAGTGGTGGCTCCCTCCAGCCCGCTGTAATGACGTCAGTGCGAACAGTGGTAACTCACTCCAGCCCGCTGTCATGACGTCAGTGCGAACAGTGGTAACTCACTCCAGCCCGCTGTCATGACGTCAGTGCGAACGGTGGTGACTCGCTACAGCCTACTGTCATGACGCCAGTCCGGACACTGATGACCCATTACAGCCCACTGTCATGACGTCAGAGGGGACAATGGCGACTCAGTACAGCCCGCTGTCATGACGTCAGAGGGAACAGTGGTGACTCACTACAGCCCGCTGCCATGACGTCAGAGCGGACTGCCCCGAGTGGTAATTCAATGCCCAAATGTGTTTTCTCGACGCTAGGTTAATGCGTACGGCGATTGTGATTGGTTCTTGAAGTTCGGTGGGTGAATCATTGCTGGATAATCGACAACTTTCACCCAATTTTCACGGAATGGATTTCGCTTGAACTCTGCGGGGCCATTGGAAGTCTCGGAATGCCACCACCAAGGAACCATCTGACCCGATTTCGACAGGAGAACTCCCAAACAAAAGTTTGTGGCCTGAACTAACGTTGTGGATGAAATAATATGAAAGCCCTCGAAGACCAACGTACTTCGGATATCTGCACAGTATGCTCAGACTCAATTATGTCATGCTCATACATTCCGCATAGGGTATGTGGCTGAGATAGCAAGTAACATTGTAAAGGTAGCAGTCAAGTAACAATATCATTTAAGTAACATGACTGTTATTAAAGTAGCATTATCGCCACTAAAGTAACGACATCATAATTAAAGTAACACTATCGCCATTAAGGTAACACCATCACTAAAGTAGCACCATCACCATCAAGGTAAAACCATTATTAAAGTAACATTATCAACAGTATACTTACATTATCAGCATTAAAGTAATAACATTTCCATAATGATGGCAATAGAACAACATGATTTAGCTAGCATTATGACAGTATGCGAAGAGGCCCCGACAGTTTTACTGCGTAAAGCATACAGTACGCATCAATTTGAACTGGTTCTTCTCAATCAGCTCCGTGCTTTGTCACAAAAACCGCCATCCTGCGAGGCAGCTTGCGTTGCAAACATAGCATCGCTAGTTGGCCAGCTCCCCCATTCCGTTACAGGTCAGACGAGGGCAACTGATCGGCACAGCTAAAATGACGCTCAGCCGCATTAACGCTAGTTAGCATGCAACTAGGTTAAGTGTTTACTTGACGCTAGTTTAAGTGTTTTAATAAAACGGCACCTATTTTGCACTTACACCTAAACGGTTGGTAAGTGCAAGACTGAATAAAAACCATGCCATTTTGACCAGCACAGCATGAGACAACAAAAATAGCCTACAAAAGAAACAACTAAGCACCTAACACCACGCATGAATGAAACGAACGCGAGTGGTTCAAGACGCTGCTGCGCACTGCGAGGGTCAATGCTAATTCCCGAGCCCATAAGCCGACCACGTAGCGCGCTTAATCGCTACGAACGGCAGCCGTCAGCGCGCACCACTGACCTGAAATACATGACGCAGACCAGCGCGTGGAGGACCACGTTGACCAGGTGGTAGCCCATGGGCCGCAGCTGGTGCAGGTAGTAGTTCCAGCGGAAGGTGAGCACACACAGCGGCCGGTACGACTTGTGGGAGTGCTCCTGGAACAGACGAGCGGGTCCAGCGTCTGCGCTCTGGCGGCCGACTGCCGCGTGGCGCTGATCAGCCCCGCTGCCCTATGCATGCCGCGTTTCGGCACGGTGGAGCGGCGTCTGGCGCAGCAATCAGCGCAATCAATTACGACTCCGATGATAGCTGCAATCGAATGGGCCGTGATGAGGGAGTTGTGTAGAGTTCTGCTGAAATAGTGTCTTGTCCGTATCCGTAATAAAGTATACTTATATTCCACAAAACAGTCAAGTCTGCGTCCGCTTCCAGAACTCGCATATTGCTATGTTCAAGCCACAACAGCCGGGTGATAGGTTAGGAGTCGCATGACTTCAAACTCAGAGGCTTTCGCGAATCCCCCAAGTGCAGTTTTCATACCGTAATGCCACTGGTTCGGGATAGGCAGCATGCGCACGATGTATCACGCTCCATATTGGGTTGAAGGCTTCCCACTCGAGGTCTTATGGTAGACCTATAGAGGTTTCGACATTTTTGAAGTTCATTTCGCAACGCATTCGCGTGTTTAAAAACCATTGCAGAAGTTCTGATGCATGGTCTTCAACAATGCACCGTCCCAAACGCATGCGTGTATTGGCTTCATGCGAACAGTTATTTTCTATTTCAGAAATTTTCTTTTGGCTGCTTTATTGATGTCACCCGGAGACTGACAATGGCCGTGCGGGGAGTCGAATACCCATGAACGTACGATGCGATAACAGGTATCGCATAAAAATTGAGAACCGACATCAATGCACCAACACTGAAAATCGTGACCATACACATGCGTTAGGATGTCATTACCACTGCGCAGAATCGTCGCTCAGAATAACTTATTTCCAAAGTGAACGATGAAAACTGTGTGTGTGTGTGGGGGGGGGGGGGAGGGCATCATGCACCACTGTGAAGGTACACATCTTAGGCATGGCGTATCTCGGGTACGGTACTAAATATGCTCTTAACTTCCGCGCAAACACTTTTTCGCGCACGACGCAAACTACTGACGATAGCGGAGAGATGCATGTGTATTTTCCCAAAAGTGTTTTATCAGGGTAGCACCCCCGTGAGGCCAACCTCAATTTGGCACATTCGGCAATAGCCGGACACATTCCTTTACAGCTGGAGCTAAATTAGTGGGCGGCAATAAGGGTAGAACGGGAACAGTAACGTTTCGGTCTGCGGTAGCATTTCCCCGAGAATTGTGCAAATATGGAAAAATTGAATATTACAAAAGCGATTTGCCGGCTGGACTAGAGATGGGACAGCCCTCTCGAGGTCTTCACAGTACTGGCGTGCAGGTCGGCACCAGGTCAGTGAGTGGTCAGCTCGCAAAACTGTCCGGATGCAGCGCAGCTGTTGGCGCGGCCAACACGGATGAGGTGGACCCGAGAGTCGTCGTTGGCGCTTCGAACGATATCGAGGAAAAATAACCATTCACTCTATAAATGAGCTTTTCTGAATTTTCATCTATCACTCTAAGAATGAAATCTCTCTCGATTTCTATCGCTTACTCTAAGAGTAAGTTTTTCTGAGGGACAGTTTTGCGATGGAGCGATTTTCCTGAAACATCACCAGTAATGCTACACATACGGCCAATCAGAGACATCACCAGTAATGCCACGCATAGACCAATCAGAGACATCTCCAGCAATACCACACACACGGCCAATCTGAGCAATGTGACGTATACGGCCATTCAGAGACAGCACCCGGTGTGGCATATTTCAAAGTCTGAAACTGCACTCTGACACACAAGGCTGCTGCACTACGCCATCCTTCGCCGCCGCGGCCGCCACCCCTGAAGGTCGTCAGCACCAATCGATCGCGCTGAGGTGGCCTCCAGCCTCACCTCTCCGCCGGGCTCGGCTAAATACGCGGGGCATCGGCAGCGGGCATGGCTCGTTTGTTTACGGCCCGGTGCGAAAACAGTTGGCGCCCGCCGGGAGATGGTAGAAATGTCTACGAGGAGCGCGACAATTGGGTACGATCCACGGGGATCGACGTGAGAAGGTCGAGGGGAGGAAAGGAGGGCAATGAACAGTAATGAGGACACGGAACGGGTGGGGATAATGTCGACGTGGGGGGGGGGGGGGGGGGACGGAAAGGTGTTCGAAAAAGAGCTCCCAGTCGTGCAGCAGCGTCTGGTCTTGTCAGGCACGCACACTTCAACCGACTTTTTGCGAGGTTTGTTTGGCGGCCTGACCTGAGTATTTACTCCTGTAAGTCACGCCGCCGATGGGCGAGGTGAGAGCCACACCAGTGCCGGTCGTCGGACAAATCAGACACGCTACCCGGCCTCGGCCGTGAACCAACGTCAATTCGAAGACGTGTCCGGCCGGGTCCCGTGGCGCTAGGTTCAGCCGCTCTGACCTCTCGACCCGCGACCTTCCACGTCCCGTGGCGGCAGGTCCAAACGCCGTGACCTCTCGGGCTGCGACCTACCGCGTCCCGTGGCACCAGGTCCGGCCGCTCTGACCTCTCAACCCGCTGCCAGTTACCGGCAGCGTCGGTGTTCGTCCCCTGACCTGGCCCCAACGCCGGGACCGGAGCCGGAAGCGTCCCTGGCACGGGCGGCTAATGTAAATGCCGCAGATAAGTGATGTCGTCGTAAATAAGACAATTTACGGTAGCAGTGGGGGCAAGAGCCGGCTGGCGGCATACTAAGCAGCCGCGGTCGGCCGCCCTGGAAGCAGAAGTCAGCGCGTGCCACCGGTGACTGGTACTCCTTGGCAGGCCGCCGGTGACCGGCACTCCCTGGCAGGCCGCCAGTGACAGGCACTCCATGGCAGGCCGCCAGTGACAGGCTCTCCTTGGTAGGCCGCCGGTGACAGGCACTCCCTGGCAGGCCGCCGGTGACAGACACTCCCTGATAAGCCGTCACGGACCTCGGGGAGGTCGACAAACGTGGTCCGACTGTTTCTCCGCCCGACCACTACAGCAGCAGTGGCAACCGCCGACCGGAGGCGACCTGGAAAGCCTTGAACTCCGCAGACCGGCAGGTATGGAAATAAATCGAAACTGCGGTCCAAAACCGCACTGGGGCAGCAATTCTTAACCAGTTGCCTTCAAGGCGCTGTTTCTGAATATCACATCATCTGAATATCATCACATCACAATTCTGAATATCACATATCACACACACAAAATCTGTGGTTATTTCACACAACGTATTAAAACCTACTTTCTAAGCACTCCCCTATTTTGCGTACAATAAACACTAGGTAACTTAGTTGACGTCACCAGTGCGCAAAACAGGAGTGAGCAGATTCATTTAAAATCGGTCCCAAAAGGCCTTTGTGACCACGTTCGTGAATGTCTATCAGTCCGTTCAAACGAACTGTTTTCTGTTGAAATCTTTTGATAATGGCTATATGAACAAATCTGACAAACATTTCAACGCATCTTGAAATAATGTATGACACAAGCAATTGTGTTCAAGGGCGCTATGTAATCTAACTACGTAATACACAGACTTTTTATCAACGGTCCGTATGACTAAGTTTAAATATACGACAACCGCGAAAAATGCACCTTGAAAGGGACATGACGACAAGGTTAACGTTAGAAAGATGCCTCCAGGGGATTCACAAGAGAATTTAAAGAAATGACTTTCCGGAAATCTGTGGTAAAATCAAAGCATGCATATGGTAGTATCTATAGCTTTTACCTGAGTCAACTTTCAAGAAACGGATTCATGTTTGTTTTGTTAAATGGTAAGATACTCAAAACAAACGGCCTCTTTCGACCAATCCAGAAGAGAACTACCACTTTGCATTTTTTCCCGCGGCATTCGGCAGCTATATTTGTTCTAACAGCCTGTCTTAAGCGGGGATGTAATATTTGTTTCAGACAAGAAGAGGAAGCGATGTGATCAGCGTGTGAACCCTCAGCCTTTATCTCGACTTGTTTCGGCACGCTCAAGTGTTCTCATCTGCCAAAATCAAAACTTTTGTTATCCCTTTCTATTAGATTTTAGCGATTTTGCTGAATTTTAAATCACAGTTCGTGCCTTATGCGTGCACCAAACCGAAGACGAAAAATATATACGAACGAGCGATCTCCACATTTGGCTCCACTAATAATTCGGTTTCACTTCGGGCAAGGAGTGCGCAACGAATGCACGTAACGCTGATGTCATCCACCGTGTTTGCATCCTGCCTCTAGTGTAGACCTGACCGCATGATTCTGTGACTGAAGCTCAACAATAAAAGGGTTCCGTTATCGGGCCCTTGTTTACTAATTTTTAACACATATCTTAATCATCGGCCGTGTGCAAGCGTGGTCATCGACGGGCGGATGGTTAGAGACGTCTTTGTTTCACTTTTAATTGATTGCTTGCCGTGATTTCCTCCGGCCGGGGTCGTTTCTTGTTGTGGGTGACTACTGTAAGGTCTCTGAATGAACCTATTTATATGTGCTTCAAGACAAAAATTAAGCTTTCAGTTTGGTCATGCCACGTTCTTTGTGGTGTGCTTGAAGAGAGATGCTGACAGCGTAGAAATTGCTGAGTACAGCACAATACGCTCGCATTCTGTAGGATGTGCTAGCGCAGACCGACTAATAA